AGCCAGAAGGTGGGCGAAGAGGCTAGGCCAGGGCCAGTTTCTCACAGATGACATCTGAACTTAGACCAGGAGCGACATTTAGGAAAATGACCCTGAGGGTTGCTGTGTGGCTGGATAGCTGGGAGCTGCCTGACCCAGCTCCTGATTCCTGGGAACAGCCTCCTCCCACTGGCTGCTGCGGGACCTGGAGAGCCAGGCCTGAAGCACAGGCGGGGGCTCCGGCAAGTCCCAGGCGGCGGCAGCAGCAGCCAGAATGAGCATTCGAGAAGCAGGGCCACACGCTCTGACAGCAGCAGGGCTGGGTTCCCACGGGCCCCCGGGGAGCCCTGCCGCTGGGGGAGACAGAGACCCCGAGAGAGGCGGCAGGAAGAGAGGACACACCCGCCACCGCCGCGCGCCTCGGACAAGCCAGAGGCTCTTCTGTGCCTCATAATTACATCCTCATTACCCGTGTTCTTCCCTGTGGCAGCGGCGCGTGTCCAATCCCTTGTTCCCATCGGAGTATTTCCAAAGCTACTCAAGAGACACGATGCCTACCCTTTTCCAAAATAAAGCCGCCCCAGGCGCACACAATCTGCTTTCTGCAGCCTTTCTAATAAACCCTGTTGGAAAGCAGGAGAGGCTAGGGAACGTCTCCTGTAATTACACCAGGCCTCGGCCCTGACACTCACGTCTCCCCAGACGCTCCTTCGTTCGGCTATAAAGCTGCCTGTCAATACGTGAGTGACTGGCCTGAACCACAGTCACGCCTGGAGCCCTCGTGCCCGCCCCCCCCACGCTGCGCAGGCTTAGCAGCTGCCCGGGGAGGGAGAGAGGTTTCCGTGTGTGTGACCAGGGCACCCTGATTACTCCAGGGCTTTGTTAATTGAAAGGCTCGGTAGCAGGGCTTGCCTGCTACACCTGAAGGCAGGTCACTAAACATCTCGGACAGTCTCCCCAGGTTTCTCCAGTGAGTGCAACATACACCTCCACGTCGCATTGATCTGCAGACTCACCAAGGTCGATGAGAATGGCGTGCTGCTGCGAGGTGAGCTGCTTCAAGAGCTCTTTGTACGGCGTGTCCTTGGGCTGCTGTTTCCGGGGAAGCTGGTGTTTCAGGTGGTACTGCTCGGCGAGGAACTTCCAGATCTCACCCCGGTGATGACGTGGCACACCTTCGGGGGTGGGGAGGGTAGAGAGTACAGAGAGACTTTATGCACAGAATTGAACTTAATAATAAAAATGAGTGGTGTGGTAGTCCATCGATCTGAATTCTTGTTCCATGACAACTAGCAGCATAGGAAGCAACCAGAATTTTGTCCTATTTGCTCCCTTCCTTCCTTCCTCTACACCCCCCATCTTCCCCCTCACTCCCTCCCACTTTCCTTTCACCTTTCATATATCCACACTTTTGGATTATACTAGAATCTCCCAGGAATAAATGGTGGGTGGTAGGAGCCCCTATCTGGTGCTGATTCATCGTGCCCTGAGAAAGAAGACCAAGCATGTAACAGAATGTCATCTCATAAAAGCGACGTGACCCAAGTGCGTTGACATGAAGGAAATCAGATTTCACAGAATCTTTCGCTTGTGCGAGGGGGCGTGCGGGAGGCAGCCGATCAATGATTCTCTCCATCATTGATGTTTCTGTTGCTCTCTCCCTCTCCCTTCCTCTCTGAAATCAATAAAAACGTATTTTAAAAAAGAAAAAGAAAGAAATGCAGAAATGCATCCTGAAAAACATGTTAAGTGATTTATAGTGGGGCTTTTCACAAAATAGCTTTTTTCCAACTGGGAAGTTTTCCCAGTTATGAGATGAACAATTTCCTCTTATTACTAAATCGTTCCCATTAAGCTTATCAGACCTTTATTTTTTTAAGGAAAAAAACACGGGCTGTGTGTCACTGGACAGTACCACACATTCTGGTATTTAAGAGAAAGCTTAGGCCTGTTCTTTAAAAACAAAGGGTCATGCACAGTGGAGCCAATGTGTTTGCTAAGAACGACCTGGAGTAACCTTCCCACACTCGGTTGTGCCTCCTCTCCTGACCCAAGGAGAACCCGGGGGAGTCCAGCCAGGACCTGCAGGCAGGGTTCTGGGAGGACAGGCGGCCACCTTCCACCCAAATGTGAACGCCTTTGCGTTTTTATGACTTGAAAAGTAATACATGCTCACTATTTAAACCAAACACTTCTGGAAAGCCAAAAGGCATAAAGAAGAAAATGAAAACGACCCGTAACTGGAGTGAATACATAAATCACCACCCAAAGGAGGACGCTCTGAAAGCAAAGGGGAGGCAGGGTGCTGATTATCTCGCTGGGACAGGCTGTGAAGCAGGGCTGTGCCCGGGAACCAGATGCACGGTCATCCTGCTCATTACTCAGACGGCTGCGAACACCTCGGGATGTTTTCCACGCCGTGCCTTTTTCTTTCATTTAGCAACTCCTTCTTTTGCATCAGTACAAATCCCCCGTCATTTTCAGGGAGTAAGACACGGGTGTGGTCACATGGTTGGGGATTCTGGCTCAGTTCTAGTTTTTGGCCTTTAAACAATGCCACAATGAGCATTCTTTCCCACCGCAGAACCCTGCTGACTGATTAGCATCTAGGTTTCTATATATGGCGTTGCTGGGTCAGAGGTGAGCAGTCCGCATCCGGCCCACACTGCCCACTGCTCAGGTAGCCAGCCGCTTTGCAATCCCACTCCTAGAAAAGCACACTCCAGTTCATAAAGTTCTACTTAACATCTTTTATTCATTAAATAAATGATATCATTTAAATAAATCATTAAAGGAACCGTTTCAACCCAAGCTAAACTTTGGAATATTTCAAATTCCCCAGAACTATTCTTCCTTCTCCCAAACTGACATCCTAATCCTGCGGCTCTGATCCCCTTTTAACTTGGAAAGTTCATAAATCCCTTCATCTCCATCACTTAGGGGCTCTTACCCATACGGGGACTGTCTTTTCTTTTAAGGGCTTGGAGTTGACTTGGCCTCTACCTGGAAGGCTGAAGGTGTGGTTCTGACTTAACCTCATTCTTTTATTCTGAACTACAAGATGGACTGTGGCCATTTGTTTGGGGTAATTAAATCCTATGTGTAGAAACCGGTTGAATGATTGACAAAGCCCCTTTTACAGTTAGAGATACAGTTCCTGCCACGGAAAGCAATGTGGCAATGTCGGGAACACATGAGGAAATTCCAGGTTAGCCTCAGCTCACCTCACTACACACATTGTTCAACCCTTATCCTTAACTCCACTACACAGGGTCCAGATACTGACAATATTTCTAGTAGCCCCCTCTCCCCCGTAAAAATGCATGATGAAAACCAGTATATCCAGGTGTCAGGCTTCTAAGAAAGTCACACATCTGGAATAGCTGTCACAGGCCCCGGCGGTTTACCTATTGCAGAAGCAAAGCCACCTGAAGACCATCAGTGAAAAGGGAAAGAACGAACTCATTCTTTTCTCTTCTTCCTCCTTTTTCAAAACAGCGATCTAGGGCCATGTGGTGCAACGGCGAGCCTCTAGCAACCACTATGTGAGAACTGGAAGAGAGCGCTGAGCTCCTCTGTTGGTCCATGCCTCCGTTCTAGCAGCCAGGAGGCCAGAGCCCAGAGGTGAGGACACCTGCCAGAGCTCACACAGGGAGCCTGGCCCATCTGCAACCTGTGTCCCCCACCTGCCATATTTCTGGTCTCAGAGAACAGCACAGAGGGACGGCTCAACCACGGGCAGGGCCTACGCTGCCTAGAACTGGGGTGGGAGACCAGCTCTGGCCATTACTCAACTGCTCTAAGTCCAAGTCTCCTTATCCACAGAAAGGGAAAGTCATAACTAGTAATAACTATGTGTTATTAAAATGGATGCTTTCGAAACCCAGATAAATGTTAGGTAATGCCTAGTTGACTATTGAGCAAAACCACTTGCCCCTTTACTCTCTGAGAGATGAATGATGCATGTGTATCTTCTCCCATTGATCAGCTAATGAAGTCAGAAGAAAACCGTAAGGTTTATATGTATCTGCAGCCCTTTTTCTAAACACTTGGTTATTCGTGACTAGACTGGCCAGATCCCAGGAGCCCTGGAATCAGATTAGACTCACAAAGCCCCGCCCTTGCCAGCAGACAATCATATGCATTTTAAAAGAAATGGCCGCTTCACTTGAACACGGATAATCATTGAAGTTAAGCTCTAACATGGTGCTTCCCCAACTATCTGTGACGGAGGACCAGCTTTTTCTTTTCAGATTCTCCAATCCACAGCACACTGATACTTTTATAAAACAGCACAAAATGAATTAGTAGAAAAATAAAATGAGGCGGGGGAGAAAGGCTGGAAAATAAAAGTCCACTATTTTTCATTAGGATCTGTCAAATTGCCAGAAAAGTTTCTAAAGACTTAGTCTAAGTTCTATACTCATCTTGGACCAGTAACAGTTCGGACTGGTACACGGTCAGCAGACCACACTAAAAAAAATAAAAATTTAAAAAAAATAGCAGAACTGCCCGCTCTCCAGGGCTTCTGGGCGGAGCAGACACTGCTGTGAGCCCCTGGTATCAGCTCGCTTACTCCTCGCAGCAACCTCTGTTGGTACCCGTGTGGAAGTGGGGCTCAGAGAGGTTCAGTCATCTGCCTAAGATCACATTGTAAATTGGGAGGGCTGGGATCTGAATCTGGGATGACCTGTCTGAAGTCTGTGTCCAACGCTCTATGTTGTCTCCCGAGAGGGGGGAAGCCACACAGTTAGTTCTCAGCTTACTACTGAACTCAGAGTACATCTCATAGCGTCACCCAGTTTGTAGGCAACTAAGTCCTTGGGTTTTCCTCCATCTGCTCACTGTTTCCTGGGCATTTTAATTGATTAACTTAAGAGGAATCGAGAGTGGTAATGAAAGTAGCATCAATTACCTAAGATATCTGGAAACAGATTAGTTAAAGAACGAGAACGAGGGGTGAGATGGGACGTAAACATTTCTTTTTTTAAATGTCATGCTTCTCCCCAACCATCAGTGAGGGGTGAGGTTTGCTGGACTGATTCCCAGGCAGGCTCACCTTGCCCAACAGCCGAGTGCATTTTTTCCATGTCAAACTTAATTTTGGATCTTCCCGGCGTGCTCAGCATCTTTTCCCACACCGTCGTCACTTCTCTAAGGCAGGGCGTGATCTCTTCATAATCGAGCTTCAGGCGCTTGTTCAGCAGGTCGTTTTTGGAAGCTACAACAGATCATTTAAGAGCACGTTAGTGAACACCGCGGCTACGTGTCTTCAACTGCCACCTGTGGCTGCCGAACAGAAAACGTTATCTAAGCTGAGAGAGGCTCTCCAAGGACCCTTCCTTCTCATGTCCAGCCAAACCTTCTAGAAGACTACCGGCTTCTACCGAGCATCCTGTTTCTGCTTCCTGGAACAGAACAGAATAGAGGCACACTCTTCAGACGCCTCTCCTCATGCGTGAGGGTAGCTAGTATTCCCACCAACCCTCTTCCGTTTAAAGCTTTACGAGGAAGAATTATACCTAAACCACCAAAGTGGGGCAGGGGGGTCAATACAGGAAGATTTTAAATGGACAGTTCTAAGAAAGATCGAAACTGACGGCCAAATTTCTACCTAAAAGCACTAAATCCTATTTAGATACCGAGTCCACTCCACATCAGATTGGAAACCCAGACTGTGCGTTTATCAGGAGAGCTGGTAGGATGTAGGGCTAAGGATAAGCCAACACACAGACTTTGGCAGAGCTGGTGAACTCAGTTTCTTCATGATGACAAATACTACATGTCTCACGTACTTTACATTTAGTAACATTTAATCTGAATGTCCCTCTGAGGCTGAGTAGCTTCCCCAAAGTCCCGGAGCAGGAGGCAGAGTGGCCCTGGGGCCCGGCCTCACGGGGTTACGAAGCTTGCAGCCAGTGATTACACATTTTCTCTGGGATTAGGCACGGGTCAATTAGGGGCCTTAAATGTTTTCTAGAATCTGGGACAGCTATCTGAGCATAGAGTATTCTTCAGTGAAAGATTTTCAGTACAAATGTGATCTCTTTAATAGATATGGGGCCACTCAGATCTTTTTGCTCCCGTGATCGGCACTTACCAGTTTTTGGTCAAGTGCATCTTTCTAGAGATTTGTCTGTTTCATCTAAGTGGTCAAGTTTATTGGCATAAAGTTGCTCTTTGTCCTACAGACACTGGTAAGTCAGTGTACACACCTCACGAGTGTGTTCCCCGACCCCCTGCAGATATACACGCTCTCCACCCCAACCCCGTTTCATTCCGGAGGAGACCCGGGCTGAGCAGGGTCCTTCCTGTGCCTGTGAGAAGTGCTGGTGGCAGGATTTGAAGCCCTCTGGCTTTAAACTGCTTTGGTTCTGAACACCAGGTCCTATTACTTTTAAAATGAGAATTACAGCCCGGCCTGCTTGGCCCAGTGGTTGAACATCGACCTATGAACCAGGAGGTCACAGTTTGATTCCCAGTCAGGGCACATGCCTGGGTTGCGGGCTCGATCCCCAGTGTGGGCCGTGCAGGAGGCAGCCAATCAATGATTCTCTCTCACCACTGATGTTTCTATCTCTCTCTCCCTCTCCCTTCCTCTCTGAAATCAATAAAAATATATTAAATAAAAATAAATAAATAAAATGGGAATTACAGCTACTTCACTGAGTAGCTCGTGAGGATTAAATGAGATGAAATAGACCAAGCATGCACAAAATGCCCGCTCACTCGCACGTGCGCCACAAATTATATTATCAAAACTATAGACAGAATGTTGCTTTACAAACTAAGTGCTGATGATATAAAATAAAATATTTTCTTTTCCCGAGTTAGAAATTGAGCAAATGCTAACGCAGTAAATCTGGCTAATGGGACACTGGTGGCGGACCTTATTCCTCTGACGCACGGATTCGGTACCTAACCGGCCCAATTACTGCCGCCCGGTACAAATACGTCAAAAGAGGGAGCTGCAGAGGCCCACAGAGACCCCTGGTCCAGCCCCTCATTCACGGACACAGTCACTGGAGCTCAGCGCAATTAAGGGCGTGGCAAGGTTACTGACTGGCTGGTGGGTAGCAAGTGGCTCAGGCCTAGCGCTCTCTCATTTTTTTACTATTTTTCAGCTAGTATCTCTGTTCTTTTCCTTCTAACTTTGAAGAATTTGCAAGGTCCTGCTAAACAATTCCCTAGATATGTGGAGTTCAAATTTTTTTTTAAATGTCAACCCCAGATTTTTTTGTGGCTGTGAGGAAACACAGAAGGTATCATTAGCATTGAACTTGCTTAATGCAAGCAGCACAGGGCTCCCGGAGCCAATGCACATTTACTTCCCTGGCCGTGAACTCTGCCTGGGAGCGTCTGGCTGCACTGAAGAGCCCGGCAAGCAACACAAGAGACAGGCTCTGAAGTCAACAGGTCGGGAGCGTCTGGCCAGAAGATGCAGCTGGAAAGGCGTAATCCATGCATTCTGCTGTTGGCCAGGCAACACCGAGCTGTTGGCCCTGACACCACCACTGCCTAAATTCAGTGGCCTCCAAAATGCCTGTCAGCCGAGGCAGATGGTGCGGGCCTGTGACAAACGTCAAGGTGCCAACGCAAGACTTATAGATACGAGACCAAACTGTTTAAAATAATGAATAAGGGTCTACAGTCCGTGTCGGTGAGTTTCTGGGGCTGGGGAAACCAGGACTGCACGAGAGTCATCGAAAACACTTGCTATCATTTAACATGGACGTGTGAGCTCACTTGGACTTTGGACTAACGTTCAGATCGGATTTATGTCCCCTGCGTAGGGTGGGCTGTGGCTGCCCATTCCCAATTCTGCGCCGTTAGCAACCGCTTCCACAGATAAAACACTCTTCCGACTGCCACCGCCTCCGGAAAGCTGAGAAAGGGAAGGCTAGGGGGCTGGGAGCCTCAGTAATTAAATGACCCCCGAGCTTGTGGAGATTTTGGAAAAACTGCACCCATTGTTTAATATTTTTACAACCAACATGTAACATTTGTTTAACCAGGGGAAAACCTTTTAAAAATATCTTCAATTACAATTCAATTAAAATTCCAAATTCGATGGGTCACTATGCAGATGTAATACCATTTTAATCTCAAACAAGAAATGCCGAACTATGAGAGTCAGTCCGACAAGCAATAACGTGCTGACCAAGAGCTAGGCTTGCACTGAACCACGCCCTGCTGCCTGGCAGTAGGCTGCCTGCGTCTTCATTTGTAAGAGGGAGAATGGCCTTGCAGAGGGGCCTGCGGGGGACTGCTGGGGATGCATTTTAGTCCCAACATCACTTAAAAAATAAGCTTTAACTGAGGGAATTACAATTCAGCTTCCCCCTGTCTACACTCTTCAGCGAGCGAGGCAGATTTCAATGACGTTGTTTGGTTCTTTCTCAGATGCAATGCTTCCTGAACCGTAATAATATTTGGTCCATATATGCAAAAGCCAGGAACTAGGCTTAGCGGTAGGCAGGACCTCATACGTGTTTCTTTAGTTTCTTTTCCAAAGAGCTTGCCAGTTGGCCTGAACCCGTGATCAATTTTAAGAGCCACTCCCAGCTGCAATTTAACTTTCCTTTGTAAAAGCAATTGGGGGGTGGGGTGTGAGGGGGAGCAATAGAATAGCTGTCTCTCTAGCACACAGTACATTCCCTGATAAGTTCTTATCAAGTCTTGCTTCTGTATTTAATGACAAAACCCTGCCCCCTATCCCACCCCAACACAGCTTACTAAATATTTTTTAAGCAATTCATAATCAGGCTTTTACTGATGATGATTTCTCAGCAATATAGGTACTGTACACACTGATACAATGCTTTCTAAATCATATTTAGCAAGCTTACTGTGCTCTCACCGCAAAGGTAAACACGTGTTGAACTTCACAGAGCTAAAAAGAGAAATGAATCCCAGCAGTAAAAACGAAAGGCCACCCGGGACTGAACACTGCAGGTGAAATGAGGAAGCAGTGGAAAGGTGCTGGGCGGGGCCAGTGCACATATACTGCTGCCAGCAAGGTGTTTCAGGTGACCTCAGGAAATGTCCCAGCTCACTCTGGTCGGGCAAGTCGCCATTTAAACAGCTTCACAGGAGCTCTGCTTCTCTGGTACCCTGATCTTGTCAATGATAGTCACGATTCTTCCCATCATTCCCAGGCCAGCCAGCACCATTCTCGTTTCACAGGGGAGCCCTGATTTTCCGTGGCTGTCATTTGCACAGTCAACCAGGATAGGCATTAAGCGTTTATGACCTACCTGATAAACACGACTGTCTTTCCCTTTCAACAAACATCTCAACCAACATGCACAGGAACGTGGGTGCTGTGCTCCAAAGCTGTCACTCAACTGATGACACACTCAGTGATGCCATCCCCATCAAAGCTCCTTTAGATCGCTGCTTTTAGAATTAGTCACCTTCAGGGACCCACAAGAAACTGGAAGAAAAATGGAGCTGGGAGAAGTCCTAGCACTGACAGCACCCTCACGGAACGGCCCATCTCACTCAGCTTCGATACTGAGTCTACGTCCACAAGCAGCCTCTTACAATGGTTGGGCTACTTTCATATCAAAAGTTCTTATTACTTCATATTTCATTTCTTGTATTTGGTCAAAGATAACAGACTTATCTGGACTATGAACCGTATTAATCAAATCCAGTGTCTTAATGACTTTCAGCTTCTTACAAACAGCAAGATCGTTATTAAAAGATGAAGATGGACAACCAGGGAGCAAGTTCAATGAAATGGAGAGCAGGCCCCCCTTATCCACAGGGGATGGTGCCAAGACCTCCAGGGGATGCCTGAAGCCACAGAGAGTACTGGACACCATAGACACTATGTTTTTCCTGTACATACTCTCGTTCTCACTGAAAGGAAGCACTTTTGGGCTTCTCTTTGCACATCCGAATTGCCAGGATCACCACTTGTGTGCTTTGGGGCCATCATTAGGTAAAGTAAGGGTGACCTGAACACAAGCACTGCGACACCGTGACGGTGGCTCTGATGACTAAAACCGCGACTGAATGGCTAACGGCAAGTAGTGTAGACAGTGAGGAAACTTTGGACAAAGGGATGATGGATGTCCGGGCAGGATGGAGTGGGACAAAGCTCAAGGTTTCATCACACTACTCAGAACAGCACACAATTTAAAACTTATGAATTATTTATTTCTGGAATTTTCCATGTAATATTTTCAGACCACAGGTAACTGAAAACCACAGCTAAAGGGAGACCGCTGGACTCTAATTCCAAAACCTCCTTGGGAGTGACGGCACGGCTGACTCCTGCCCGGGCTCCCTCTGAGGGTATGTCCAGAATCCCTGATCACATTCCTCATTAGTTTATGGCCAGGCCGCTCTCTACACTCCAAGTCCCATGTCCTTTCCATTATACCATCCAGGGAACATAAACTCAGCTCTTAGCTACTCTGAAAATAATACTTATTGCTTCAAGTGACAGCATAGAAACAGGAAATGAACAAAACCTAAGCTTTCAAAGTTCATGGCTTATTTTGATCCTGACATGCCCCTGGGCAGGTTGCTTGGCTTCTCTGGGCTTTAGTTTCCTTTCTTCTTCCGAGTAATACCCCGGAGCCGTCCTCAGGACGGAGTGAGCCTGGCTACATAAACACCCTGATATCATACAGGTAGAGCTCGGCTAATGTTGACGTTTCAGGTTACCTGCAGCTCACTAAACATGCACACAGAGTGAGGTTATGAAGTTAGTGATTATGTGGGATTAGTTCACATATAACATCGAGGCACAGACTCTGGCTGAGGGCAGTGTAGGGAGAGAGAGAAGAGAACACAACAAAACCCACTTTTAGGAGGTTAAAGCTTACATTTGCAGGTTGTCTCTCAGAAGTTCTAGGCACTATGCTAAAAACGACCATATAGGGATAACTAATACAGTTAGTGAGATCATTAGATCTCCAAAAAGTGGTGTTCATTTTACCGATTAACAGATATTTACATGTATGTAATTGTACAGTTGTATGTAATTGTACAGTTGTATATAAAGTGTTGCACGTGAGAGTGTCTTGCTTCCTTTTAAAGGCAGCACGATTACATCTGATGTGATTTCACTTTCAAGCCGAGATAAGTTCTGATCACCAGGCCTGCCAAGTATAAAGAATGGCAAACCAACCTTGGAGCTTCTGGTTTTCCTTCTCCATCCTGAGGAGGAGGATCTGCTGTAGAATCGCCTTGCGCCACAGTTCGCGAAGCTCGCGCGATGTCCTTCTCTTCTCCTCCGGGACAGGGCCGAAAGGCCCATCCTCACAAACTGGCTCTAACGGAGACCGCGGCGGAAGCTCTCCCAGCTCAGAATAATCTGGAGGGAAAAGGACATTTCAGAATGGTCATTTTTCAACAACAATTTATATTCAAACATGTTGCCAAATCGGAAAATTCTCCTCACCACGTGATATTACCCAAACTGATGATTCATGTCTTAATATGCACTGTAATAAACTATGTTTGAACTACAGACATCTAACAACATGTAAATAGTAAGCAAAAGTTGTAGAAGCTGAGGAAATGTTCAAAGACACCTACTTATTTAAGGTGCAATACACCTCCTTCTGAGTTAATGAGTACATTAGTAGTAGTAAGAGCAAACATTCACCTGGTGCTCACTATGTATGTATAATCATTTACTTAACACCCAACCACCCCAAGACATGGGTAGTAGAACTATTCTGTCTTAAAGAAAGCAACCTGATACACAGGGAATTTAAGTCACTTTCCCAATGTCACACAGCTAGGAAGTAGTAGAGCCAGGACTGGAACCCAGTCTTGTTTTCATATGCATGTTCAACCACTCTGTTATAGGTATTTAGAAAGGTATTTGGAAAGAAGATTAAAACATATTTAATAGCAAATAATGACAGTGACCATTAATGGATCCTCTATCAAGTGCTGGGCATGGTACCAGGTGTGTTATGTACTCATTCAATCCTTCAATTCCAGAAGGCAGGCATTAGCATCAAGAGGAAACCAATGCTCAGAGAAGCCAGGGGACTTGCTTGTGGCCATACAGTGAATACGCAGAGGCGTTGGGGCCCCAACTTATGTCTGCCCAACTCGGAAGCCCATGCTTTCCGCTGGGTACCCACCGTTCCAATGTATCCTATGGTGTCAATTTTTAAATTTCCACTTACTAGCTGAAATCTCTTTACAGTTCATGAATCTGTACCTTTCTCAACTGCAGACTCTATGTTGCTGGTACACAATGTTACCACTCACAAATACTGACAACACGCATGGAGAGCATCCCCTGCCCGCTATGCAACTAGCTCTGAACCGCAGCACAAGTTCCTCCATCTGACACAAATCATCCTTGGGAACTTCTGTCTAAACTGAACCTAAACACCATCATGGTGTGAACACATGCCATGAAAGCCCTGAGCCTCACAACCACTCGTAATGCAATGTACAATCTCTCCAGTGCAAGCTCCGACGCAATTCCACATGAACGATTCATTTCCAGAACAGTCGTCGGCATCGACCGCTTGTTACCCTTATCTGAATTTGCGTTTATTTTCCTGCTATGAAATCAAACATGACTACAAAATGTTTAATTTCCTACAATAACTTGTCCATGTTAACTCCTCTTAAATGACTGGATTAAAAAAGTTATGATGGGGGGATACTGTATGAGGCATAGGACGGTCTAACCACTATGCTGTACATCTGACACTAATACAAAATAATATTGAGTGTAAACTGTAATTGGAAAATAAAATTAAACCAAGAAAAATCAAATAAAAAAATTATGATAAGCATTAAGAAATCTTAATGATCGCTGTAGCATTTAAATTATTATCATCACATTTCTATATATGCTTATTTCATTATGATCCTATTAAACAAATGAGTAAATTAAAATTCTACTTTGTTTAGAGGTAAGAAGTTATACACAGTTCATGTACAGTACAGGAGGATGCTCACGTGTTAATGGCCAACATAAACGCAGGAATCAGAACTGTCCGTATAGTATAACATGTGATATGGCAGTACAGTTTAGTGACTAATAGGTCAGGTTCTGGAGCCAGGCTGCCTGGGTTTTAATCAAGAATCTGCCTTTACTGATTCTGTGACCTTTAGCAAATTGCTTAACTTCTTTGTGCCTCAGTTTCCCAATCTGTCAAGTGGGAATAAACAGCACCTCCCTCGTTGTGGTGTTAGAGGAACCAAGTTAATACACATATTATAAACCACCTAAAACAGGATACGACACACAGTAAGAATATAGTAAACCTATTAGCTGTTTAGCCAAACAACTGGAAGCTCCAAGAAGACTCCACAAAGCCACCTTGTCAGGGAGGATTTGTCCCGCACCAAGCACGGGGCCTGGCACCCAGCAGGTACTTTATCAATAACTGACGAATAAAGGAAGAGACAAGCAGGTGCTGGGTTTGGGCATGCTTGTCATTCTTCTTTGTATTTCCTGTATTTTCTGAATGCACGACAATAAACAATTTTTATAATCAGAAAATTAAAGAAAAATAATGCTAAACTGTTCTGATTTAAGTCAAAGATTGAAAAATACAAAACCCCTGGAAGACAAATCAATCCACAAACACCAGTATGCACAGGAGCACTAGTCATTGTGGAATATGATCAACTCTAATCCCTTTTTCAGAAGGAATCCGAGTCGTGTTCTTGTTTCATCCCACTCTGCAGCCTGAAGTCTTCCATTTGAACCCTTTCCTTTTTTCCTCCTTTTACCATCTTGCTGCTGAGAATCTGCTGGACACTCAATTATGAATCCAGTTCTGCTTTACCTCATGTTGGAAGTATTTACACTCCCACTGGTTCACAAAAGAGTCTCGTTTCCAAACAGTGTGACTCCCAGCTGATGACACAGGCACCGGGGCAGCAATTAGAGTAGCAGGTCAGCGCGCGTGCACATACGTGTGTGTGTGTGTGTGTGTGACAGGCACAGAGCAGCGGTTAGAGTAGCAGGTCAGCGCGCGTGCACATACGTGTGTGTGTGTGTGTGTGTGACAGGCACAGAGCAGCGGTTAGAGTAGCAGGTCAGCGCGCGTGCACATACGTGTGTGTGTGTGTGTGTGTGACAGGCACAGAGCAGCGGTTAGAGTAGCAGGTCAGCGCGCGTGCACATACGTGTGTGTGTGTGTGTGTGTGACAGGCACAGAGCAGCGGTTAGAGTAGCAGGTCAGCGCGCGTGCACATACGTGTGTGTGTGTGTGTGTGTGACAGGCACAGAGCAGCGGTTAGAGTAGCAGGTCAGCGCGCGTGCACATACGTGTGTGTGTGTGTGTGTGTGACAGGCACAGAGCAGCGGTTAGAGTAGCAGGTCAGCGCGCGTGCACATACGTGTGTGTGTGTGTGTGTGTATGACAGGCACAGGGCAGCACACTTTCACGTCTGTGTGTGTGTGTGTGTGTGTGTTTGTGTGTGTGTCATGCGCATCCGACAGTCAACAAAATAGTAGGTGAAGTTAACCTGACAATTCTTTGCCATTCTTTTTGTTTTTTTGAGTTAGACATTTTTTTCTTAATTTTATTTTCCAATTACAGTTAACATTCAATATTATTTTGTATTGGTTTCAGGTGTACAGCCTAGTGGTTAGACAATCACATACTTTACAAAGTGCTCCCCCTGATATTTCCAGTTCCCGCCTGGCACCATGCAGTCATTACTATGTATTTCCTATGCTGTACTTGACATCCCCGTGACTAGTTTGTAATGACTAGCTTGTGCTTTTTAATCCCTTCACCTTTTTCACTCAGTCCTTCAACCCCCCGCTCCTCCGGCAACCATCAGTCTGTTCCCTGTATCTATGAGTCTGTTTCAATTTTGTTTGTTTAATTTATTCACAAATAAGTGAAATCATATGGCATTCTATCCCATTCTTAAACCCTACTAATAAGACAAGGGCTCATCTCACCCAGTCTCCTTCCTCGACACTTATCTTCTCTGTCTACCGCAGCCTTTCTCCTGGGTGTCTTGAAAATCCCTGCTACATTCCTCTCAAATGGAGTGTAATGGACAGAGCAGGTGTAACTCAGGCCGGCTCATGGAGCTCATCTAGGAGTTTAGGCTGTTTGGTCCATGTATTTCTGCCAACTGGGTCGCTGACAAGGACCACAGGCTATAGAACAGTGACGGCGAACCTTTTGAGCTCAGCGTGTCAGCATTTTGAAAAACCCTAACTTAACTCTGGTGCCGTGTCACATATAGAAATTTTTTGATATTTGCAACCATAGTAAAATAAAGACTTATATTTTTGATATTTTTTGTATATATTTAAATGCCATTTAACCAAGAAAAATCAACCAAAAAAATGAGTTCGCGTGTCACCTCTGACACGCGCGTCATAGGTTCGCCGTCACTGCTTTAGAAGCTTATGAAGCTCCAGCTTTTGCTATTTTCTTGTTCAGAGAAATCCCATCTGCCGAGGGCACAAGCATTGTTTGGTGATGACGACTGTGGGGTTTGAGGCATAAACTGCCTCCCTAATGCTCTCTGCTCTTGCCTTCTTTGACTTATTGTCAGTCACAACTCAGTTTGCTGAGCTTTTACCACGTGATGAGTCCTTGACACAAATAAGTTTGTCTGATTCTCACACCACCTCATGAGAAAGGCGATGATAGCCCCATTTTACAGCCAAACCACCCAGGGGCCATGGGGTTTGTGTTAACTTGGCCAAGGTCATACCACTAGTCAGAGACAGAATCGCAGTCACAGTGTAATTTCGTCCACAGTAAACAATGCGTGCCCAGTGCTTCTCTGCCTTCTGGGAGCACAGCATCCTGGGGGCATCTTGCTAAAACCCTGACTCTGATTCAGCGGGTCTGAGGGGAACCTGAGCACCTGGATTGCCATCAAGCTCCCAGGGGCGGCCACACTGCGATTCTCCAAACACTCTGAACAGTGGGGCTCACACTACATTTTCACGGTCCATGCTCTCCTGTGACCCTATGTACTTACTAGCATGTCAGCTCTTCATTTTCTCTCACTGTTTCCACTAGGACACAGACCAAAACCTGCTACTGTCAGCTGCCTGGCCATGTGTGAACGGAAGCCTTCACACATGGCCAGAGCTTGTCCTGACCTTGATCAGGGTACCAAGGCCAAGTGTAGGACACAAAGGATTGCAAGTGCTCATGCTAACTTCACCTCTGAATTACTCAATCACAGCGAGTCCACAGAAAAGATCGGCAAGTAAACCTCACCGTTGACAGCAGGGTTTCTCAGCCTCAGCACTCCTCGTATTCTGGGAGGGGCAATCCCATGGGGGGATGTTCCAGGCACTGTAGGATGGTTAGCAGCATCCTGGGCACTGCCCACTAGATGCCAGTA